CTACTCGAACTGCCACGGATCCGCCGGTATGTGCTGAGCCTGGAACTAGATGAGGTGCCACTAGGGTCAGAGTGGCCCCCGAGTCTCGGAGTCCTTGTACTTCTTTCCCCTCCAAGGTTACCATCTGGCGATGAGGGTGCCTATTGTCTGTGGCTTGTACCGACATCACGTCATGCAGTATTCCCAGGGGCTCTTCGGTGTGATTAAACATTAGCTCCTGGGGTGCTGGCTCTGCTTGGTAGTGGTGCGCGACTGCTCGTGGTGCTGGGTTCGGTCGTACTTGCTCCATGCTTGACGGCTCTGGTTCTGCGTGCATTCTCTCACCATGTGGCCCCATTGCTTGCAGGTATGGCACTGAATGTTAGATCAGCCATTGTATCGGGACGGTGGGGTTTGCCCCAGTTGCTGGCCGGAATGGTGCTGTTGTGGGTGTGCTGGTAGTAGGTGGCTGCGTGGTGGGTCGAGGATACCCTCGATTGAGGTTACCATAATGTCTCCTGGCATCAAAGTGCTGGTCCACCAGTTGTGCAGCTTCTGTTAGGGTGAGGGGTTTTCTGTCTCTCACCTATTCTTGTGCCTCTGGTGTCAGACCATTGTAAAACAGCTCCAACAATAGCAGCTGGCTTAGCTCCTCCATAGTGGTGGCTTGACTGGCTTGTATCCACCCCTGGGAGGCTTGATCAAGCTTGTGTGCCCATTCTGCGTGGGAATCTTTATCTGGTTTGCGCAGCCCTCTAAACTTGCGCTGGTATGCCTCCGGGGTAATAGCATATCTCTCCAATATAGCCTGTTTCACTTTGGCATAATTTTTACTGTCCTCTCTGGGCACGGCTCGGTATGCTTCTGCTGCCCGACCAGATAATTTGCCCGCCAGTAAGGGTACCCACACTGTCTGCTCCAGATCATGCAGGTCACAAAGTCTTTCAAAATTCTGTAGGTACCCATCAATCTCATCTTTCTCTTCACAAAATATTTTAAAAGCATGGTGCGGTATCTTTATCTATCTGTATCTATGACTTTACCTGGTTGGTGGTGGAAGCAGCAATAGATTCTGCCCTGGAGGGTGAATCCTGCGGTCTGTGTGCCATCACATACACTTGCACCTCTGCCATCAGTACCGTCAGCATTTCCAGAGGTACTGGCTGGGGTAGGAATTCTAGCCTGGTTCTCATCTCTTTCTGGAATGGGGTCTCTTCCATGTCGGGTGCAGGAGTAACACTGCAGGCTCTGTCTCCCTCCATCAATTCGGTAATAAGTACAGCTTTTGACATATTGCTGGCTATCTTACCCCTGGCTTCCAATAGCTCTTTCAGTGTTTGCCGTTTCCATGTAGTATAATCTATCTCCATGCACCTCTGCGTTCGTTTCTTTGTTGCACATGAATTGCCATTCACTTTTCCTGTTTGGTAGTTTCTACTGCACGAACCACGCTTTTCAGCTGTAAGGTTGGATCCCGTCGCTTGCCACCAATTGTAGCAGAGCTGCAATCTTAAATCCCAATATCTCCACTGGTAAAAGAAGGTAATCCAAGGACAGCGCTGAAAATGAAGGCAATATCGAAATCCCCCCAGTAACTAGACGAAACACAGTTTTGGGAGTCAACTGACGATTTTATTCACAAGCTCCAGTATTTATGTGGTTCCCCATGCAAGGGGTTTCCTTACTGACTTTACAGGGGTTGTACAGTAGGGGACTACATGGGGGACTTAACATACAGAACATTTCTCCCACCATGCACTGCTGTACGAGAGGGATACTCCCACTAGAATATCCTGTTAACTGGATTATCCCTCTGTACAGCAGAACTGGCTTTTTACATAAAAATACATAACTTCTATTTTATTTATGACACTGTACAGAATGACCGTTCGGCAGATAGCTGGGGTCTGAGCGCATATTTCGTGAAAGTACCGCTCAGATCCCAGCCTAATCAGCTGAACGCCGCACAAAGTATACTTTAATATACATTCCTCATAAAAGTCACGAATACATAAGTGGGGAAAAAGTACCGAAAGACCGGCGCTCCCGAAAGGCCTGGAAGTCCAGCAGTGTTCGTGCCGTCAAGTGCCGTTTAGTTCCAGGCACTCGACGACCAAACACCGCTGGGCAAAAAGGGAATCCAAGATGGCCGCCGCCTCGTGGTCAGTAGCCGAACGACGGCCACCCGGGGAATCAATTAACAGCCAATAGATACATTGTTGCGATCGGTTATTGGGAGCCACACGACCCCCTGTGTGTGGGCTCCCATTCGGTACTTTGTTCGTTTCACGAACAGTGTTGAAACTACCATATGAATGCTAGCGGCTTTCGTGTCACTAGCATACGAATTCCCTCTTTCACATTTTACACAAACACATCCAACATCATTTATAAACCGGTCTTTCTAGGGCAACCCTTAAAGTGAAACAAAATAGTCTGAAGTGGCTAGGTTTGCCATACTCAACAATCAAATTATTGGCATAAAAAAATAACTTCATTATCAAATTGTATTTCTACAATATCATCTCTATCATTGTCTGCTCTATCCAAGGTACAATATTTTATTTATTTTTATTTATTTATAAAATATTTTACCAGGAAAGATACATCGAGATTTCTCTCGTTTTCAAGTATGTCCTGGGTATATGAGTGTGGTTTGACTCAAGTTCTTTTTACCTATGTTAATATCCTCTGTGTAGGAGGGATCATGGGGTGGTCTTGTATTCCACCTGAATTTGTTACCTTTTTGGTAGGTTTTGGTTTATTAGTTTTATATTGGTCCAAACAAAACTTAATTTTTGTGTGGGAGAAGAGATTTAACTAGAAATCATAGTACTTTAGTTGCATAAATAATTAATTAAATAAATAGTAACAAGGAGCAAAATATAACACTAATAATAGCTGTGAAGCTGAAAAATATGGTAAAAACTTTTCAGACAAATCTTGTCAGACAATGTCATGCACATATAGACAGTGAGAGGATGCAACTGTAAAATCCCTGAAACAGCACCTCAAAAATGCCGTCCTAAAGCTTGCATTAAAGAGATACTTAGATTGTTGAAGTGCTTCACGTTTGAAGATTGTGCTCTTTTTTTTCATTTTACAAAAAGTTTTATTTAGTTAATTTATAAATTAACCTGGTTACACCCTCCTGGCTGTCCATCAGACAACCGGTCCTGTTACTTCCTGGTTGTAGAGGTGTGTGGAACTAAACTTAAGAGGCAGGCAGTTGCTCGTAGCACCTGCCTAGCAAATACGTCTCATAGAGATACATTTGGAAGTCTGTGATTGGATAGAAACAGAAAGTCTGGGCTGGGTTAGAAGAGGAGTACTTGCAAATACATCAGACAAGAGACCTGCAGTTATTGCTAGCTGTTTTTTTTTTATAAACCCCCAGAAATAAAATTCATAATTAAATCCATGCATGTTTTTATTGGGAATATATGTAGGAATACCATATCCATCACGTTTTCCAGGACACATATTTTTTTCACAAATTGATGGGCAAGATACAGAAAGTGCTGCCCTGCAATATGCCAAACGCTGCATGTAGTAAATCAGGTGATAAATCAATCAAGAATCCTGCTGCCTATACATTATCCGTGACACAGGGCAGAATTTTCATGTGCTGCCAATCAACATGATAAAATAATGTGGGTCCCAGAAAACATGGTGTATATAGCAACCTTAAGTATATCTATTGCACAGTGATTTCTTTTTTTATTTTTGGGTAGCAATAGAGGGTCTCTTTAAGCACATGTGAGTGCATCATTAGAAGTGTTTGTGTTGTGCAAACTTCAGTGATGATATTCACCCTATGGGCAGAATCATTTAACAGCATTCTGCATATGTGCAACCTTAAGTGGTGCTGGTCAATACGATGTACAATCATGCTGGCATTTATTTGTGTCACTTGTTTGGGTGGGCCTACCACCCTATTTGGGTAAGTTCAACCCATTTGGACATCGCCAGAGACATAAGCTGCGTCATTGCCCCCATCACTCCCTGTTCTCTCCCAGTTCCATAGTTTGCAAGGTTGGGAAGTATGCTTTTTATGAGCATTGCTTGAAAGGTTCTACCTCGCAGCAGGCTTAAAGGAACACTATAGCTTTAGGAATACAAATATGTATTCCTAACGCTATAGAGACCTAGTCACCTAAACGGGGCCCGTTCCCTGGCGAATAAAGGGTTAATTAACCTTAATCTTACCATAATCCTTACCTTAAATTTTACCTCTCCTCCTCCATTGACGTCAGCTCCCGAGTGGAGCCGAATGCGCATGCGCGGCCAAAGGCGCGCGCATTCAAACCCGCCCATAGGAAAGCATTACAAAATGATTTTCTATGGGGATCTTAGCTGACGCTGGACTCCGTGAGGACATCCAGTGTCAGATAAGTGTGATTTACTCAGTGTAAATCATGGAAGTGCCTCTAGTGGCTGTCAGGGAGACAGCCACTAGAGGCTGGATTAACCCTGCAATGTAAAAATAGTAGTTTCTCTGAATCTGCTATGTTTTCAGCTGCAGGGTTAAAATTAGGGGGACCTGGCACCCAGACCACTTCATTAAGCTGCCTTAATTAACAGATTTCCTTCCTGGATACATAATATAGGACAACACATTTTATGTGCTTTTCACAAACATAAAGAAGGATAATTCACTAAAGTGGGAGTTGTTGGAAATTTAAAGTGAATTTCAAAATAAATAAACCTGATATAAATCGAATTAGGAAACGTCTAAATCCTGGCCTGTTGGTGTATTGTTCCTATTGGCTCATTGTTCTAAACTGAAGGAAACCTCTTCAAATAACTACATGTGGGGTGCATACATGTGTTATGTTCAGTTTGTATAAATAGTTTTATTTATTTCCTAACTGAATTATTTATGTATTAGAATAATTATTCCAGAATATATTTTGCACCAACAATTAGCATTCTGCTAATGAGCGACCAATTAGCTAATCTAGAAGATATTTAAACCACCCAGTGACTATAGTCTTGTTTCTTTCCTTCCAGTGTGCTGTGCTTTTGGTCTGAAACATTATTTAAAGCAAGATATGGCTGCTTGTCTATTATCAGTAAGTACCACTGCTAAAACCTGTCTCAAAAAATGGCAGTGCGTGAATAAGCCTGTGTTATGTATTACATGAAGCATGTCAGGCACTTTAAAAACACATGTTGCTGGTGATCTGTTTTATTCGTGTAAACCGTTGAATTCTTTAACTGCACAACCCACATAATCATCTTGGTTTGCGATCTAGCCTGCAGATAGCACAAGCTATTTTTGTGATGTGGTTGTCCTTGGCTTCCACCCTCCTTTAAATATTGCTGTGTGGTGGTATGTTTTGTGTTGTGTGTGTGTGGGATTTTTTTTTTTTTCAGTCTGTAAAAAATAATCAGATTACACTTAACTGTTACTAAAAACTTTCTTCTTAAAGAAGGCATCTTAATTAAACAATTACTAGCCTTACCTCCCCACACCTCAATAAACTACAGTCTGTTCTGCATTTGTCATCCAAAAGAGAAATTTAAAAAAAATACCTAATCTTTCATTATAATCTCATTTAGAAACGTTTTACACAAAATAAATCTTGTCTTTATACACTTGGCACTTGCTGTTCCTGTTGCAGCTACTTGTTTGTTAGTTCACCTATTGTACAGCGCTGCAGAATTTGTAATATCCCTTATTAATCTGCAGTTTAGCTCAAAAGCATTGTTTTATGTATGAATGGTTTCTACAAGGTTTAGCTACTAAATTTGTAATTTTAGTGAATTCAACTCTGAATGACAAAATTTAGGAGAAAATGGCCATGCTGCAACCTTGGTTAGTAAGAGAACGTTTCCACAGTAGGATATTTACATTTTATAAGGCTACTTAATCGCCTGTTTTTGCAAAAAAGGGGATTCAGTTCTGCCATATCACGTTAAGCCCACCACTAATTTTAACGTGAGTTTAACATGCTAATTGCATACATTTGAGCAGAATCTCTGTCATTGTCTGGGGACTGTGCAGAATTCACAAAGACTGTGACATTGTGATGGATAGAAATTAATGTGTGTAAAAAGTCTATTTACTATGTGTACCTGGGTTCATTTATTGCTCAGTTTTATTTTCCTGAAACTGTCCCTCGTGGATGCAGCCATCTTCTCTTAGATAGGTTTCTTCTGCTCCTGGTGCTTGTGCCAGGGACCGACGTCACTGCTGGGGACATGGCAAACTCATGAATAAGAAAAAAAGAGCTATTTCCAGGGCACCGTTGCCTAAAATGAAGTGGCATAAAACCTTTTTTTCTTATTGATTTGTTTGCGGTGTCCCCGTTTATTATTTATTTTTGGAAGTTTAACTGAATCAACGGACTATGGATATTTTTCATTAGTAACTGGAATCCGTGTTAGCAGGTGTATCCACTATTGTGCTGCATTTATAGTAGATCTAAACCAAGTGGAAAGAAATGCATTAAAATGTGTGCATGTCTTCATTGAGTAGATCTACTAAACAGAGCTTTAAAAAAAAGATTAGGCAGTGGAGTATCGCTTTAAAGGAACATTATAGTTTCAGGAATACAAATGTGTATTCCTGACACATTTGAAAACACTATTTAGGTGACAGACCCCCCTTGTGCCCCTCCACCCTCCTTGAAAATGGTATGTTACTTGCCTCTAACGCAGCACCAGTTTCCTTGTGGTTGGCCCCGCCCTTCCTCCAACTCATTGACTGATATATCAGCCAATCCATTGCTTTCCCGTAGGAAAGCATTGGGAGACTATTGCATTTTTGCAGAAAAATGCTGCACTGCACCAATCAGCATCTCTTCACAGAGATGCATTAAATCAATACATGTCTGAGGAACGTTCAGGGCCTCCATGCAGAACGTGTAGGCGCTGAATGTTAATGCTGCACACTGTGCACCACTAACCCAGGAAGTACCTCTAGTGGCCTTCTTGAGTTACTGCCTCGAGGTGTTCTTAGGCAGCAATGTAAACACTATCTTTTCTCTGAACATACTACATTAAGCTGTAGTTCTGGTGACTATAGTGTCCTTTTAAAGACTTTTAACAATTTCAGAGCACTAAACAATCTCTAGAGCTTTACAGAAACACTTCACATACCTTAACCACTATTACAATCAAACTTGTTGGCGGTCTTACAGGTGCTGCTCCCTGCTTCCACTATTTCTATGAAGCACCAGAAGCTCCTAAGCAGGAGTTTTAATGAGCTCTCTATCTGAGCAAAGCCCTGCAACTCCCTGGCTGACACAGTTGGCTATTCACTCTCCTTGCATTGCTTGGCCTAGAAAGAGTGCTTCAGGAAGCAGTGCAGGACCCCAGATATAGTTACACCATTTTAAAATGGCTTGCCTTCTTACGACAGGGGATGGAGTGTGACCATCAGGGCATTCCTGGTACCAAAACCACTATTGCAGGGTGCAGTGGTTATAGTGCTTGGAGTGTTCTTCTAAAGAATGAGTCTGGTTTGTGCTTTGTTTTTTTTGTTTTTTTTAAATTCTTTATTTTTCAGTGCAAAACAGTCATTACAGCATTCGTTAAAAGGAGCTTATATGATTTGTGTGTTAGCCAGATCGTAGCACATTCTGCACTATTTTATTTTTGTAACATGTTTGTGTAGGCCTTGATCGCTATCGTGTCATCCCTCTATTCTGAGGTGGTTGAGTGTGGTGTGTTCTAGCTGATATATGGGTGAGAGTCAGTGTGCTGTGGTTGCTCGTAGAGGGTCCTATGGCTTGTTCGTTCAGCCTGTGGGGTGGTATGTAGCCTCTTCAGTACAAGGCATACAGGCTGTGTTGTGAGGTATGCCTTGTTTCATTTGTAGTGGCTCCTGACCATGGGAGCTGCCGGGGGGTGGTGGATGCGTGAGTTGTTTGGCGGTTGCCTCGTGTGTGAGTGTGGAGGGATGCTGTTGTTCCCCGTTATGGGGGGTAGAGCATTGGTCGTGTCCCCAATCTTAGGTGTGATTACCTGTGTGACTGTAGATGTGGTCCCTAAACAGTTGCACGGTCCCTGGTAAAGGGAATGGGGGGGAGAAACTGGGAGAACATTGGGGTATATATAATGTCCTGAGCAGATAGTCCCATGGTGAGCGTAGAGAGCGGCTGGTGTGGCTGGCTGGTCTTCAGTCGGGCTGTTGTCTTAGTTTGGGTCTTAGCTGGTGCTGCAGTCCTCTTTCCCCCTTCTTGGGATGAAGGTTGTTGCATGCGCCGGGTCCCAGGTTGACGTTGAGGTAAAGGCACTCTGTAGTGCGGTGTCCGGTAGCTGTGCCAGTCCCAGGGCCGTCAGGAATGGTGCAGTGTATCTTCCATAGAGCGTGTGTACGCCATCGTTCCTGGATACCATCAGGGGTCCGTTTGCTCCCCATCTATAGCTTATTTTAGCTGATTGAAGCTGGCTGGTTACGGTTGGAACGTTTTTCGCCACAGGAGGGTGGTTTTACTGAGATCTTGGTATTCATCCTTGAATTGCAGGGGAGTGTTGCCCTTAAGTGCTGACATTATGAGTATTTTATCGTGTGTTGTGGAGCACCTTAATATCACATCTCTTGGTGCCGTTGTCGTCGTCCCCTTGGGCCCTGGTAGGCGGTAGATTTCTTCCAGATTAATTTTTTTGGCTACCGTGGGGGACAGGAGGGTGGTTAGCAACCGTCTGGCATAATGGGGAGCTCGTCCGCTGCAACTGCAGTTGGGACGCCCCTTATCTTCACATTAGAACGGCGGTGGCGATCCTCCATTGCTGTGATGTGTGAGGTGACAGCTCTTTGGTGAGCCCATATTTGTTGGACTGAGGTCTGGAGGTCTTGTACCTGTGTCTGGACGTCTGCTATGCCCCTCTCCGAGGCCTGTACTCGGTCTGTGATGGCCTTAATGTTATTTTTAATAGGAGCTAATTCAGTTGCAAGTATTTTATGAAAGTCCATCAATAGTACTTTCAGGTCTTGTCTGGTCGTTGGTGTGGCGTCAGTGGGAGCATCTGATGGCTGCAGGTGAGTGTCCGCCGGCCCCTCTGCCCTTGCTTGCTCATTTGGGTTTGAGGGAGCTTCAGGCCTTGTACCAGTGACCTGCCGCGCGGGCTCTGCGGGTGTGGGTTGGGGCTGCATGGGCCTCTGGAACATCGTTCCGATGTCTCTGTGCTCCACAGCCGCCGTCTTTTGCGAGTGGCGACCCATCGCTGGCGTGTGGGGTGAGGCCTCTTGTGGTGCTTGGGGAGGGCTCCTGTCATTCGCCTGTTGCCGGAGGAGTGCTTCCAGGCTTGGCAGGGACAATGTGGGGTAGGCCCCGGTTTTCCGTTTTCGTCCGGGCTGGGCCTTTGGTTGAAAAAAGGCATCTATCGCCTCGGGTGGTATTGGGGGACGTGACTGTCGGGTTTTGGGGTCCGTCTGGGCTTTAGTTTTGGGGGTTTTGCGCTGTAATTTGGAGGAGCTTGCATGCGTGGCGTCTGTTCAGGCTGGTGGTTGAGCTCCGCTCCCCTTGTGCTTTGTTTTATTTATCTCTATAAAAGAAGTCTCATTAGTTTCCATTCCTTGTTTGTATCAGGGCAGCCAAAAAGAGTAGGTGGACGGACATACAATGAAAAAATAAGTTGCTAATCTTCACAATCTAAGCTTATTCAGCCGTGCTTTGATTACCTGACATTTTCTTGTCCTAATAAGTGTTTGACATTGTAACTTTTACTTATGACTCGACAGATGCAGTTTAGCATTTTATTTGGAGAGCTTTGCCCATGCACAATGTCACTATGTACATAGTCTTCTCTATATAATTACATTCTGTTAATCTTACATAGTTGTCTATGTCTAGGTTGGAAAAAATAAAAAAAGGTCCATAAAGTTCAACTGTAAAGTCCATTATCTTATACTGTTGATCCAAAAGGCGGCACCCACCATCTCCCCCCATCCCCCATTGTAGTCATATCCAATATTGCCACAATAAGAAGAGTGGAAGATGGAATATTTCTTGATACCATATTGCCAATCCGATTTCACGTGGATAAACAACCAGTTTACATCCATATCTGTTACGTCCTAGAATATGGTTTATGCAAAAAATCCAAACCTTAGTAAATGTATCTCTGGAATCTTATAATAAAAACTCTTTAGGCAGAGAATGACACATCTTTATTGTTCTTGCTGTAAGTGAAAACGCCTTTCTTCGTTTCAAAGGGTGACCTCTTGTCTGTTCAATATTCCGGCTATTGAACAGGTTTGCACATAGTGGTTTGTACTGACCCTGTATATATTTATATAGAACTATATTTAATTTATTTTTTTTAAAGAAAATATTCCAGTTTTTCAAGCCTTTCCGATATTTTATTACCTAGTTATGTTAGTTGCAAACACAGAGAAATGACTTTCAAAGCCCACTTCAAGATGATGTATACATAGATTAATGAGATGTTGATCCAGAACAGAGCCCTGTGGCACTACACTTACCACTTTTGTCCAATTTGAAAAATTTCCATCTACAACTACTCTCTGCACTCTTTTTTTTAAGTTGGCATTCTATCCCAGAAGACATTTTTTTTTTTTTTAAACCAACTTTGTTTTACTAGTAACCTTTTGATATTTTAATTATCTGATTTATTCTCCTGTCCTGTAGAGTAAGCTACAGAGTGATGATGAAAAGGATCTGGTTTCAGCTACGCAGTTGAGACCTAGACTGAAACGATTTGGACTGAGACGAAGACCTGTCCTGAGATACAATGAAAACAAAAAGGTAAATGCCATGAAATAGAGGTTGTTGTGTAAAAACATTTTTCCAATATGAAGTTTTTGAAGTTAATGGAATATCCCTTTCTAGAGACTTAAGATTTAAAAATGAAGGAGCATGCTTTGAAATAATATATAAAAGTTGACTTTGCCTGATGAGGGAGAAGGTCTAACATCATAAGAAGGAACTACTGCTGGAGTGTTTTTAGGATCACATATGTTTGTAGCAAGCCAGGAAGTAGCCTGAAAACTGGAAACTGCAACATTTGCATTGTTCACAAATCTTTAAATATACCTAGGGAATGTCTCATTGCATCTTCTGGATGCATATTGTAACAACCAGGGCATGACCGCCATGATGGGAGTTCAGGGTCCCACATTACCTGTGTGTGTGTATATGTGTGTGTATATATCTATCTGCAGGCCCCCGACTACCTGTTTGTTGCAGATGGGGCCCGCAGCACCCTTGCTTCCCTTTCCAGCTGTTCCCCTGTCTAAGACTCGCGAGTCCTGCGGCTGTCAGAGCGTTGCCACAGGTTACCATGGCAATGCTCCACGTGGCACGCAGGCCGCGAGAGTTGGACAAGGGAGCTTCTGGGATGGGAAGTGTGTGCTGCGGACCCCATCTGCAACAAACAGATAGTTGGGGGTCCGCATGAGACTCTCACTTCCCTTCCCAGCAGCTCCCCTGTCTAAATCTCGCAAGTACCGCAGGACTTCAGAGTGTTGCCACGGATAACCATGGTATGCGATCTCCCCCCTTCCTGGCCAGGTAAGAAGCAGGGAGGGTGGAGTAAAATAAAATGTTATAAAATATATTTTTGTAAATGTAAAAAAAAAATGCCCACCCTCCCTTTACACATATTACATGCCTACACACACATAACTACATCCACTTTTACTATATACACTGCATCTAATACACACAGCCTTCACTATACACGCACTTGGCCTTCTAATCCACACTGCATCTAATACACACAGGCTTCACTATACGTGCGTACTCTGCCTTCACTATACCCGCACTGCATCCCTGTGGCTGGACCGGGGTGCAGCCCTGTGGGTGGACTCGGGGGCAGGCCCTGGGGCCCAGACCTTGAGCTGTGTCAGGGGCCCAAAAATGTCTTATGGCAGCCCTGACAACAACCATAATGTTGGAGATTACTGGTGTAATAGTTTTTATGTTAAAGGGTGATTAAAAGAAGTCTGTATGTGACTGACCACCTGGCACCCTGATTGGGTGCCTCCTCCAATCGCTGCTTCCTAGTAGCCTGGAGTACTATAATCACCGCACCGAACATTATAAGCACCATAGCCCCTTAGCTGCCGCCTCTTGGCTGGGGTCTCGCTGTCCTCCACCCACCCTGGACCCAAGCCCAGGATCCAGCTTCCAGTGGACCTCTCCTACTCCAAAGTGTCTAGCAGGTATAGTTGTGTAGCTCTTACAAGAGCTAGTGATTATAGCCAGTAGCTGGTATAGCTGTTCCCAACAATCACGAGATGAGGCTCTGTTGACCACAACTGGCCTTTTGACAGTCCCCATGCAAGGGGCACTCCCCCTGGACCTGAGAGTAGACCACAGTAGAATCAAAAACACAATCACATTTGCTCTCCGGTCCAGGACACTCCCATACAAACTAGGTCAATCCCTCTTCCGTACCTGAGAGATAATTGAGTCAAGTTCTGTATTAACTCCATTATCTCCAGACACACAACACACATTTTTTTACAAAACCCCAAAAACACACGAAACCTCCACAAATGTTACATCCTTTGATAGCCCCGATCTGGTTGACAAACATCCAAAAATCGTAGTAAAGACAAAGAACGTTACCTGCGCTCTGGCCCTATGTACATTTAAACAAAATGGACTCTCTCAAAAATCACCCAGATCAGTTCAGGACTTTCCTGGAAGTCAGTTTGACTGACCGCACGCATGGTTCATTCCCAAAACTGTTCCACAGAATCGCGGCTAAGTGCAGCTGGTGGACCAATCAGGAACTATGAAGTCTTCATGCCAAAAATAGTTCCAGGGCATTCGCAGCTAAGTCCCCCTGAAGTCTATTCGCGGTTTTGGTCCATGCGAACAGCCACCAGGGAGCTAGCATTCAGTTCTATCTGCACGAATGGAAAGTGCTGAACCAAGGGGAATAGAATATGGGTCTTTACAGTCGCTAACCTGGCCAATAGTCTTTTGGCAAAAGGCTGGCATGCAGGCCCCTCCAAAAGCATGTGGCGATGTTCTGTTCGTCACAAGGTATATATCTTCTCGGGTTAATGACTCACTGTAATATACTTCTGAATCACCCAAAAGTACGAATATGCAATCTGTATTAAAAAAAAAAAAAAAAAATCTCCCAGATGCTGCCCTTGACAGTTACATTATGGTGTACAGCTTAGAAATCAGGGGAGGGTTGGCAATGCTAACCTTGGGGACAAGTGCAAACGACTTTGTTAGCACTTAAAACTAATGAATTGGTATGAGTGATCACACTCACGGAAACTGATTTAGGTTTCACAAATAGAGGCAGCTGGAGTCACGAGAGTAGCAACCTCTATCTGTATGAGGCAGCATTAATAGGAATCTGTGCCTGGCTAAGTGATCAACTTTGTTTCCTGTGTCTCCATAGACACCAATGTCTAATCTCATCCCCATGTATTTTGAAAACCCTTCTGCATCATACTCAACATAATCTGGCCTGGCCTAAATCCTTCATTTTCCTTAGAATTATTCCAGTGTCCTGTACAGGCCTGGAGTGTATTGTGATTGCAGAGCTACCAGCCCAAGCACCAACCCACACAGTGCTAACCTGGCAAAAGCTCTGTACAATTCCTGCTTCCGGTCTCACATCTGCACAACCGGCATCACAAGACGCCTCTGATTGCTATTAATCAGTGAGGAATGAGGCACAGAAGCCAGGAATCCATTTAGGTTAGTGGCCCTAGGATAAAATGTACCCCTTTGCCTTTCTGGGGATATACTGCTGGAGCTGATTCAGTATTTTACATTTTTTTTCCAGATTGGTAGGTATAAGGCAATATATTGCTGGAACAATCCTGAAAACTGTCCAAAATAAAAAGCGGTTTAACTGTGTGTTTTTTTTTTTCCTCCATAGTCCATAGCTAGAGTGAAACAAACTCGAAAAAGAATACAAAGAAGATACTTTCAAAAGAGACGGCTTCTCCCTAAAATAACAAAGGTAATGCATGCTCCAGTACTGTTTCTCAAACGGTCACAACACACATTACTAACTTCCATGGAGCTACTATATAAAACAGTAGTGCGTTGGGACAGAAGCCTTATGTACTAATACTAAGTAATCTTTACTTAGACCAGATTGGAATTTCATTAAGCTCCTCCTTGGGTTAAAGATGGTCTAGTGTAGGAAAAATACATAGGACAAAGTAGTCCCTTCTATATTTTTCATCATTTAAAAAAAAAAAAAAATTTAATTTGTATTTTGAGTTTTCAAGTTAAGAGTGGGGGTACAGAAGGAAAGAAGGGGTGGGGTACAAAAAGGTATGCATAGATCACACGGTTCATAGACCGCTATATTGGTTATTTCATTATTTACAAACATATTGGGGTTTTGTAGTTTGACCTCTTCATGGTTTTATACATCTTTGCACTTCTATCTCCATTTTATACATTGTGTACAGATGATTAGTCCTTTGCTTGTGCAAAGCTTTCTATTTGTACAAATGAGGCTATGGTGGATGTTTGGTTTGTATTATGTGGTTGAACCATCGTTGCCAGTTATGAGTGATGTCCCTATGTTTGGGTGTAGTTGTGGTTAGCATCTCGTATTTAAGGTATTGTTGTATTTTGTGATACAACAATGTTGGTGCTGGGCAGTCCTTTTGTTTCCAGTGACATGCTATATTTCATCATTTTTAAATAAAAGTATAAAAAAAACATGAGAAATCTGGTTGGAGCAGACTAAGCATTTTGAGGGGTCTATACCTAGACAACAGGGCCCTTTTGGAAGGAGGACAACAAAATAAAAAAAAGAAAACTGCCTAAAATCTTTACACTTGTTGCTCAGCCTCTAAACAGCATCACCGGCAGAACTTCATCATGACAAACGCAACTCTTACCATTAGTTCTTTCTACACCAAAAGATTTCAGTTCTACTGTGCTAGATTTTCAACTTATCTGACCCATTAATTGTTAAGCCCACATTTCACCTCCGGTTTGATTTGCTCTTTCCTTTTCTACATGTAATATTTATCTGATTTGCCTGTGACTTTCAATAAACTGACATGTAAATTTGTTTTTGTCCCCAAGGCTCACCTAGAGTATGGCAGTGCTAGATTGGTAGCAAGTACATTATACATAATGGACCATCCTGGATCCACATTCATGATCCAGGTGTTTGATGTTGATGTTGACGCATATTCTGATGCTGTTGACACATGTACTCATGCTAACGTGTGTGGTGAATATGCCAAGGACACCTACTCTTACTTAAAGCAGCTAGAGGTGAGTACAGATGTAACTTCTCCCGCATTTTATAATGAACACATGTGAAAGCTCTAAGCATGCAGTCTAAACTCTGAGTATACTGCGATTTGCTAAAGCAACTTGGGCAGAGAATTTATTTTTCTCGACACTTAAGTTGTATTGGCACAGCAGTGTGTAAGTCACAGCATGGCACATGTATGAAGCTAGGTAGTTATGAATACTCAGTCAGTGTTTTGCTAAAACAGAAGCAGCCTGATTTAATAAAACAAACAAAAATGTTAAATCTCAAAAGCAACATGGCTGCACAGCAAGCGAGAGGAAGTGAGGCAAGAAGCCAACATACGTCCTCTCCAGGACAGACAATGAAATGTTACCAGCAACAGGAAATGTTCCAACACCTTCACGCTAGGCACTAGTTATTACAAACACCTTTCTGCTGGCAGGCCAGGATTTTCCTTACACTGACTTGCGCTACAAGAAAATGTAACTTTTTTCCAGAGAAAATTGTATCCGGAATAGGAAAGCGTCAAAGCAATGTGCTATTATAGGACAAGAGTGACTTCAAATGTATAAGGGCCTGATTAAAAGGAATTGGAAAATAGTAAAAGGGTGCACATACCACAATAAAAAAAAAATAAATAAAAAAAAAATTACTGATGCTGTTAATCCCTTTATGTTAACTTTTTTTTTTTAAATGTTAGCCAGCCTCGACACCATAGATGTTTGTGAATGACCTTTTCAATGATACTTTTGCAGCGATTGAGAATTATTTTATTTGTACCCTCCACAGATGGATCAAACAATTCGTTACCACTACCTGAATGGTCAAAACATCACCCCAACACTTCGAGCTATAACCATAAATTGGCTTGTGCGCATCCATTTACTCCTCTGTTTACACCAGGAGACTTTATTTACAGGTGTACGTATTTTGGATCGGTTTCTACAGGTACGTACTCATGACTGGGAATTTCTTCTAAATTCAAATGCTCAAATGGATGGGGGATGAATTGTTAAGTCTCTCGTGCTGATTGCCACTCGAGTTTTATGTGGAGTTTAGTGAAGGTCTGCGGTAAACTACAATCTGACACTTGGACAGTGGACAATCAAGCACATTGGTAAAAGCTCTCTTACAGGGACACTGTAGGCACAATAACAATTTCATCTCATTGAATGGTTTATAGTGCCTGGAACATTCTGGCGCTATCCCTTCAGTGTTACTGAAAGTGTTCCACATACTAGCCCATACAAGAAATAGGACTAAAGCAGAGATTTCACACTTCTTTTTAGCCATACCAGCAAAGGGTGTTATTAGCAGAGTGTCATCTGACCGTTTTGAACCTATCACAGCTACCCATTGCCGCTCTGTTTCCTCATTAGCCCAAGTAGCACAGAGGTGACTTGCTCTGCCTTAAAACCTGTTAAACAATGTTTGGAAGGAAGTTACTAAGGGACTACAGATACTTTATAAGAACTTCAGTGAGATTAGCAGCAGTTATGACTACAGAGGTCTTTTTTTTTTTTTTTTTTTTTTTATATTGTATACCTGTCAAACTCCTAGATTACCAGTGGAGACTTAGCGGTTGAATACAGTTCTTTACGGAAAAGTGAAATGCTGTTCATTTTATTTAATAGGTTCTTATGTGTAAAACATACAAAGTCACTTACTAGCATCCCTATTACTGTGTCTGCTGAGCAGAATGCTTGTGCGTGTCACTGACTTTGCAATCTGTAAATATGGGGGTAAATGAATGACTCCTGAAACTTTGCTAGAGCCATTCAAATATGCTTTCCAAAACTTCATCAGATGGGTCTGCTGCAAATTAGCCTTTTATTAAAAATGCTGGTTTGGACCCACACTTGTCCAAGAGGCTAAATACATTACACTGTTGCCAGGTTCATTCCTGTAACAATGCTTGTCTTTTGCTTCACAATGGGTACTTGTGCTTCAGTCACATTGGAGAGGTTTTGTTGCTCTGTATAAGTTATATATTATATATACATATATCCCTTGCTTGAGCTACTCAACAGCTTGTCTAAGAAATGCAACTAGATCACTAATGCCTTGTTTCCACTGAGCTGATCTGTTTTGGAAGGTTTTGAATGGTTTGTCCTAATCCGGCGAGCGTTTCCACTGCATGTTGGAATGCCTGGAGGCTTGTGTGGTTGATGCCAAATGCCTAGTGTGGCGTCACACTAGTGCAACATACGTGACACTACAAATAACAATAATGGAGGTCATCCAGCAGCTCGTCTTTGCTCTATTTGGCTTTTGGTTCTTTGAAATTAAAGAATATGCTGCACTTTATGAGAGAAGGTTGCGAGCGGCGAAGAGAAACATAGCAGAAAAGAGAAGAAAACTTATGGCTTGGGTCTTGAGCTGGGAGGAGAAGTACACCTTTGTGCGGCAAAGACGTCAGCGTATAGGGTAAGCAACTTTATGCAATTTGTCATGTAGTTCTACACGTATTAAATAAAAATACAGAATATGTAAAAAATCAAATATGATGGGAAGGATATACATTATGTATTTAACAACATACATGTTGCACACTGTAATGGACCGTTTTGCCCAAAAGGGGTTAAAAACCGTTTAGGCGATATTCCCCTTTTTCAGCTGCACAGACAGCTACTGCAAGCACCAATCTCCCAAACTGCATACAGACGAATAGCTGCTAGCAGACGAACAGGAAAAGCCCCCAAGCGGCTTACACTCCTGGCAATCAGTCTCTAACAGCATACAGTAAATCCTCCCCCAATAATGAGACGACACTTCACTTTGAGGGTTAAGCAGGAACTCTCCTGTAATGGCCACACACTGGCTTTTATGCAAGTCCCCATGCAAGGGGACATCCCACAGGGTGGGACACAGTACAACCAATCGTTACAGGGGAACCGTAAAACACACCCACAATTACATCACAATCCCTCCTCTCTGTCATGGAGATAATTGTGAAGTAATCAAATTATCTCCAAGGACAGAGGCAAAACTCCATTAACCACATGGCAGACAAAGGACAATAAAAGACATAAAATTACATAGTTACATTTATTCCATAAAACATAGACATTCTACATATCCCCAGATAGCTTAGATCTGAGTGCACTTTACTACCGAATGGCGCTCAGATCACATAAATACAGTTCAATCGCCATGGAGCCAAAGTCTTTCCCATAGTCTTTCAGCATACGGCTGGGCTCCATGGCATAGCTATCTGGGGTAGCATGGCTTTAACAGTCTACAGAAAGGCACGAATACGCTTTGCAGGGAAAATAAAAGGTTTTAACTGCCGGGCCATAGTCTAAAGGGAGCAGGCGAGCAACCAGGCTCCTCCAGTGGACTGTGGCGAGGCTGGTTTCGCCACACACATATGTAAAATTCAAGAATTACACCTTATACATAAATACTCCTTATGTTATTTATGTTCGCTTTTATACATGATGCTATCTGTCCGTGTAAGGTATTTTATGTTGTATTATTAGTGATATGGTAACATCTGTCTTTTTTTTTTTTTTAATGCTTCTCCTTTTGTCAAAGCAGCGCCGCCGACCAGTGATTTGGGCTCTCCGCCGCGCCAATGAGTGGTGGGATGTGACTGTCCCTGAATTCACACACAGTGGGTGCACAATTTCAGAATGTTGGAGGAAACCTTTTTATACCTTTGTGCATTATTCATTTTCTGGACTGGCAAAAGCTTAGACATGGCTGACTACTTTGAGAACAGGTGGGGCCTTCCACATTGTGTTGGTGCTATTGATGGGTCACACATACCAATAATAGCACCACAAGAATACCACACTGACTACTTCAACAGAAAAGGCTGGCATTCCATCATCTTCCAGGGAGTAGTGGATGGAAAATGACTATTTTGGAGTGTGAATGTAGGAAAGCCTGGGAGTTTGCATGATGCTCGGGTTCTACGACTGTCCACATTTTGGGATTGGGTTGGCCAGGGAGGCCTGTACCCTGTTTGCACTAAGAACATTGGGGGGTGAATGTTGGCTATTATGTGCTCAGGGACTCTGCCTACCCTTAACAAAATTGGCTCCTGAAACCATTTTCTGACAATGGCCGCCTGACACCAGAACAACAAACCTACAACAAGAAAACATCCAGGGCATGGGTCGTAGTTGAAAATGCATTCGAAAGACTGAAGGGTAGGCGGCGTTGTCTTTTGAAGAGGAATGACAGTGACATTGCACTTGTCAAATCCATGGTGCTTACTCGCTGTGCTCTTCACAATCTTTGTGAAAGACACGGAGAAGACTTCCACCAGGATTGGAATATGTCTGCAGAAGAGCCAGGAGGGGTAATTACACAGGATAATGAAGAAGAGTTCAGTGAAATATGTCGGGCTCTGATGCAGCACCTCCACACTTAATTTCTTATTAACGTTTTATTAGTTAAAGTTTTAATAAAGTTTTACATTTAATCAGACACACAGTCTCTCCTGTTTTTTATTCAACTAAAAAAGTGATCTTTCAAAATATACTTACAAGTACAGAGTAAAAAAAAATATTTACAAATAAACCTTTTTTTACAAAAAACAAAAAAATATTTTTACCAAAAAATAAGTGTACAGGTCCTGTGCTGGCTGAAAGGCACTACTGCCTGGGCAGTGACCTGGGATCACGACTGCCTCCAGCACTTCAAAAAGCTGCCCAAAGACACCAAGGAAGGCCTGGTTGAAGGTAGCCAACTGCTCCATCTGCTGCCGGGCGATTTCTGCCTCCTGGCGCCTCTCTTCCTGGGCATCCTGACGCAGTGCCTAAAACCGCTGCTCAGAAAGGTTCTCCATCCGCATATCCTCCATGACTGTGCGCAAATCCAGCTGAAACAGTCTCCGTCTATGGGTTTGTTTTTTTAGCAATTGGTACAAAAAACAGGTGGAGATATATAATCTAACATAATGTAAATAAAGAAAAGAGGTAACACATAAGAACAGTATAAGCACAAATTAAAATAAACACAAACACAATATACTTAAGATAAACTCAAAACACAATGAAATTTAAATAGCCGTATATACAGATAATGTACAATTATGATTATGGATTTAATTATGCAAACAAACTACATAGAAGTGTTTTGAGTGAGTTCACAATTACAACTTTCACTCTGAACATCATGTCTTACCAGTGTGCCGGGGTGCATTGGGCATACTCTGTGGTTGGGTCGGTGTTGACGCCATCGTACTGGTGCTGCTGAACGACGTTGATGGACCATCGTCAGAAACATAAAAGGTTGAGGTATCATTGGAGAGGCCATCAACTGTATCTGAAAATGCACAGATCAATAGTTCAGTCCACTGTATAAATAAAATGGGGTGTTTTTTTTGTGCAGTAAATTTATAAGTGGTTAGCGGAGCAAAAGCCAATACAAAGTAGGAAAAAAAAACGTATTAACGGGTTCTAGCATGGATTTGAGAAGTGCAGATGCAGACTCCAGACCACCCTCCCTGCCTTGGTTTGCCGGCCTATGACCGTAAATGGCATCCATGGCGTCGTACCACATCCAAGTACTTCGACTGTTTCTACTACGACTGTCTTTAATTTCTTTTTATATTGGCCTTTCAGCTTTTTAAGCTTTGCCCTACACTGACCTGATGTCCGTTCAAATCCCTCAGCTGCCATCAGCTGAGAAATATCTTTATACACCTTTTCATTTCTCACTGATCCATCAAGCTCACTCTGAATAACGCTATCACCAATTAGTTAGGAAAGTAGATAGTTCCTGAGCAGACCAGACCTTGCTGTTGACAGGAATCCTTCTCCTATTATCTGGACTAAACAGTGATGTGGTGTTTGTTTCGCACTTGCCTTTGACATGAGCATTGACGTTTTTCTGTCCGCCAATCAGTGGAATGTTTTGTGTGACGCCAGTAGCTCCACCCTAACCGCACCATACCATTTCCTATGGCCCTACATCTGAAGGGGGACCATGAATGGTGCGGTTTGGTTTGATTGTATGCGCCACTTTCATAATGGAAACACTCAAAATAGCGTACCGAACTGATCCACTCAGTGGAAACGAGGCATAAAGTTCTGTCCATAAAGTTTTCAAATGAACTTTCTACTTCAAATTTCTACTGAACTGTTGGCTGTGGTACAACCAATATGCCCTACACCTTGAACTATCCATGCACCTTGCCTGACCCTGTTAAAGTACTGATAGTGTATACAAATAAAAGATCAGTAGTGTGTATCTGCTTCCTTACAGGCCAATCCCCTGGATAAGACAATGCTGCAACTGGCTGGGCTAACCTCCTTGTTCATTGCATCAAAATATGAGGAACCAACTCCCAAACCCATTGCTAATTTTGTGTCTTCATCCATACACCATATCCCAGCTGATAAGATCAAAGATATGGAACTTCAGATTCTTGTTGCATTGGAGTTTAAAGTTGGGACAGCAACTTCTCTGCAGTTTTTATGGAGAGCATCAAGAGTAATGGGTGTGAGTTACTATGTAGATTAACAAGTATTGCTATTAACTACCTACCGTTTAAATGTGTGGTTTTTGTGTCTTGTATGTTTTATTTTTTTTTTTTAATTAAAATGAATACACTCTTGTGCCTTTCCAGACACTAGATAAACTCCTGATGGAATCTCATCTCGTTGGTATCTATCACTTATAATGAGAATGGATGTGTTGATCGGGTAGTTGCTTTTCTTAAAGGATTGTCTCCATTCTGCTATGTACATGCAGGGTCTTAAATAATGTGACTTGCTTATTATGCATTAAACTCTAAAGAGTTACACTTTAAAAGGACACTAGTCACCAGAACCACTACAGCTTAATGCAGTTGTTTTGGTGTCTATAGCATGTCCCTGCAGGCTTTTAGAGAAAAGGCTGTGTTTGAGTTACTGCCAATGGAGGTGTTCCTAGGCAGTAATGTAGATACCCACTATGTCAGGCTGCGTACAGGATGGTTGATGTGTTTTTTTTTTGTTTTTTTTTTGGCATTGTAGTTGGAACCTTTTTCTCACACTTATGCAGAATTTCTAATGGAATTGGCCATGACGGACTACGACATGGTTCATATGGCTCCATCAAAAATAGCAACAGCAGCCTGCTACCTGACCATGACATTCTTAGAAGAGAGAGATTGGGTGAGTCTTTTTAGGGAGTGCACATATTTTAAACCCTTCCCCTATCTACTTATTATACATAGTACATTCCCAAAGTGTGTGTGGTGGTATTTGTTTTTGTTTATAGACTTATTGCTAGAATGGTTTAAATATTTATTCCCACTTAAATCTGCACTCTGTATCCCATAATGACAAAGCAAAAATATTTTAGAAAACTATGCAAATATATACCAAGTAAAATGTTATTTCTGGTGTTTTCCTCTTTAAATATTCAGACCCTTACTATGACATTTGAAATTTGGCCTAGATGCATCCCATCCAAAGGGCCTTGGTAAAAGGTGACCAAGGCCCTGATAGTCACTCTGGGTGAGCTCCAGCGATCAAATGGGAAATACTTGTGGAAGGAGAACCATAAACCTAACACTCCACCAATCTGGTCTTAATAACAGACTGGCCAGACTGAAGTCCCTCCTCCACTGCAAGACACATGAAAGACCACTTGGAATTCCATTCCAAGCGTCATGTCTGGGTGAAACAAGGTTCAGCAATATAATCACAACTGTGAAGCATGGTGGTAGCATCGTGCTCCGGAGGTGTTTTTCAATGGGAGACTGGATTGAGGGGAAGCTGAATGCAGCAAAATAGATTCCCTTACTGAAAACCTGAACAGACTGGACTGAAGGTTCACCTTGCAAAATGACAATGATCCTAAGCGCACAGCCAAGACGAGGCATGAGGGGCTTAGGGACAACTCTATTAATGTCCTTCAGCGGACTTTAACCTAATCTAACATCTCCGTACAAATTTATATACAGACAAAAACAAAAGGTAAAAGGCCCTGCCAAAAAAAAGCTGAGATCTAGCCATTTGAGCTTTTTCATACAAAGTACTTGGCTAGATGGCCCTTGAGATTACAATCAAAAGTATAACACTGAAACGTTAAAAATGTAAGGGATCAGAATACTTTTTGAATGCATTGTAGTGCTGTGTAGAATGATCCCTTTGGCTACTAGGGTGTTATAATGGGTATACTTCTTTTGGTTTGAAATTGTTAATGAATGTTGTTTTCGGTCTAGTTTTCTCTAATAGTATTTTATTATTTTTAGCACTTAATGTGACTGTTCTCGGTATGCAGCACGTAATAATGAATAGTACCCTGCACATGTGCCCCATCCCCACTTATTTGTATGACATGCATTTAATATGTGATGTACGTTTCGCCTGGCTCCTTATGTTTTATTGTCTTGCTCCCCAGCATCCAGTTCTCCAGTTTTACATGGGTCATTCAGAAGAAGATATAATGGTTGTTGTATATCACCTAGCAAAGAATTTGGTTAAAAATTATTCTAAGCCTGCTCTAGAAAGGGTAAGTGTCCTCAATGAGTTTCTGTAAGTGCTACAGTATGCTGGATCACTGCATTTAAAATGGCAATTTAATAGTCATAATCCCAATCTATAATCCCAAAAAGGCATTATGGTAAATAGGAAGTTTTAAGGCTGTATTGCTAAAATGTACTGCTCCGTGTACCAGAAAGGAAAAATTAGGACATGCCATATACTGTCAGTCTCTGCTTGTCCTATTGTCTAAATGTGGATTTGTATAGCTCATAAAGAGCCAGGGGATCATCCACTGAATTACATAGACCAGCCCAGTCACCCCTTGTACCACATTTTACCGATCATCCACTTCTCCGACCTACTCCTGCAAACCCAGCCAGTCACAGAGCTCCTGGCTCCCAACAACCAATCTTTATCTACTAACTGGACCCAATTAATCTATGCATCCAATAACCAATAAATTAACCATCACCAGCTCACAATTTTTTTTTTTTATCAGAGCCGCAGCATGGTCAAAAGGCATCCAGGGGAGAGTCTCCCATTTATGACCCTCCCCCAGGAAAACTTTAGGTTTCCACGGTACCCATAAACACACTGACAGCCCAACCCACATGCACAGACACACACACACACACACACACACACACACACACATTCACTGGCTCATATACATTGGCATTCATATACTGACACACATACTCATTCATAGACTAACACCATAGGTGTCAACTGTCATTTTGGGGTACGGTCCCAGCGAAAGATTGGACTTGAGGACTTGTACCACATTTTGAAATCTGCCTGCAGACTTCAAAATGCAGCAGGTACAAGACACAAGGACCATGTACAGAGTGCTTTAGCAGTACTCAGTGCATGGTCTGCTCAGGGGCAGGCTGGGACGGTAGGCAGGGAGGCAATTGCCCCCCAGGCCACCCTAAATCCAGGGCCGTCCGCATTCAGCAAAAATAGGAAAAATCTGAATCCCCTGCCTCTGGCTGGGGACTTGGATTTTTCAACTTGCCTCTCTCCCTGCAGTCAGTGGAGGGGGGGAATACACATTAGTTTTCTTGGTTTTTGTTTTTTATCCCCTTCCCGCAGCCCCATGCCCCCCAATTGCAACCCATATCACCCACATCACAGCCCCTTTCCCAAACTGTAGCTTCCAGCCCCTATCCCCCACTACGTTTCCTAACCCCCCACTACAGCCTCTAGCCCCTTACTACAGCCCTGTCCCCTTACTCAGCCCCTGTCTACTGGCTTTAAAAGTGTGTGTGCCTGTCAGTGAGTGTCTGTTTAGGTGACTGTCCCCCCTCTCACATAGGAAAGGTGTTTTTACTCTCCTCTTGGGCCACTTGACTGAATTTGCCCTGAGGACCTAAGGCTGCCAGCCCTCCCCGATCCTGCTGCCATCTCTTCCCAATTACATGACACACACATCCAGCCATCCACCTGATCTAAAAGAAAATGATTCATCACAGTAGGCAACCTTCTTGCATTGCTCCATGGTCCAGTTATGATGCTCAAGTCCCCATTGAAGGCACTTTCACCTTGGACAGGGGTCATTATGGGAACTCTGACCGGTCTATGGCTACACAGCCAACCGTGATGCACAGTGTGTTCTGACCCTTTTCCATCACGGCCAGCATTATGTTTTTCAGCTCTTTGAATTCCAATAGCTCTTCTGTGTGATTGGGCCTGACGGGCTAGCCTTCGATCCCCACGTGCATCAATGAGCCTTAGGCACTTATAATCCTGATGCCGGTTTTACAGTTGCCCCTCCTTGCACAAATTTAGGTAGGTACTGGGAACACCCCACAAGACTTGCTGCATTGGAGATGCTTTGATCCAGTATTCTAGCCATCACTATTTTGCCTTTGTCAAAGCTACCTCAAATGTATTTGTATATTTTTTTGGGCTTGCCTATTTTTCCTATTTCAAACACACAAAATTTAAGAACTGATCACTTTCTCCCAAATCTATTGTAACAATATAATGACTGTTATTCGCTTCACCTGTCTGGTTTTAATGTTGTGGCTGATCAATGTATAAAGGGAACGAGAAACCAAATAGAGAAATTTACCTACATCCAGTTAAAGAACTGAAAAGTTGTGCACACTGGAGTTCATGGTCTTGGCTCACCCCTGAACTGGGCAAGCCCTAATCATGCAAGCTCATAGCATGTTATGTTTTACCAATATGAATCAAATTGCTGCCTATGTAATAAAATAACCATACAAGTTCTCTCTCTCCTAGGTGGTCTTTGACAAGTATGACACTGAGGAATATGACAACATGAGCAGCATACCACTTTTTTATATGGATATTTTTATGACCTGGCAGGGGAAAGTTATGACATTGTGTGACCTGGCAAGGAAAGTGTGCTGAACATCCATCCTGACTGCCTAATGTGCACTTTCAAATGTATTTTTTTTTATTTTTTATTATTATTATTAAAGCTTTTATAAGTCTTTAAAAAGTGAGTATTATATAACTTTGTATTCATGAAAAGCAGACCTATGATGAATGGCCTAGGACCATATAATTGCATTTTTTTTTTTAAAAAGGGTCTGGAAAACTAGCGCTAACTTTCACAGCTAACTGGTTGGCTTACCTGCTGCCAACAAAACCAAAAACAAATATATCAGACCCAATCACCTGTCCTGGGTTTGTCCCCAAATAGCTGGAACATATCATTAGAAGTGATGGTGTGCACTGAGGGCACTAGGACCATAGGGTGCTGATGTTTTCGGGGGGAGAGTAGGAAGGTGCTCAGCATAAAATAAACAAAGCACAGATTTTCTCCACAGGGTTAATAAAGCATGTATTGTACTGCAGCACCTTTCTGCACAATGTGCTGCATTCTGTTGGGTTTTTTGTTTATTCCCTCTAAAATACTGAAATGCTTAGCTCTGTGAAAGTTCAACAAACCATTAAGAGCCTTCATCAAGAACTTGATGGGCAAGTGGAGAACAACAATGTCGGGACAATTATACTAGTAAACTTGAAATGTGGCATATACCAAGGTG